CTATGAAGTTCATATCAAGCTCAGTCTTCCCTGGCATTCGGTAAAAACCAAAATGTATCCATATTTTTGCCTTCAGAGAAGACGGGACCGCTTGAATCTCTCTTTCCTCCATTTGTTTCTAAACTTTTCGCGCATGCGTATGTCCGAAAACCTGCTGCGTGAAGTCTCGCGATATTTTGTAATGACACGAGACTTCACCGCAGCTTCAGGGGAGACTTCAGCGGGTTTGTTTTATTTTTTTAGAATCGATTTTGGGAAATTTTAAATCGATCTTGAATCGTAGTAAATGAGAATCTAGATTCTTATGTGAATCGATTTTTTGGCACACCTCTAATGTTTATCAAATAAAGTCTAATGTTACAACTAATCGTGGATCCCTTTAAATAAAACGTTGCTTTCAAAAGAAAGTGGGGAGTAAGGTTTCTCAACCATGTGTTTGTCCTTTTTACTAAAAAGCCACTTTAACACCCTCAGTCTGTCCAAAGAGACACCACAGCAGAGCAAGTGTTTGTGCATGTGTGTCCTGAACTCGTCCCCTCTGAAAGCTCCATTGTAGTGGTCTCTGGCATGCGTATCGTTGGCAAAAGTTTCTCTCCAGCCCTGGGCCTCACACCATTGTCTGGTGGTTCTGTTGCTAATAGCCTGCTGCTACAGTAATACTCGGCAGATCTTTACCTCTGCATGAGTTTGTCCGTGCAACAGTGTGCGTCGTTGCTGGTGGTGCATACGTGTGGGTTATGGATGTGAGACGGGCGTTGCTGTCGTCAGAGGGTGTGTGTGTTGCCTGTTGGGTTTAAAGTGGCAAATAAGGGTTTCTTACTATGTTCTGGTTGGGAGGCTGGAAATAATAACCCAAGCCTGGTTAGGCACATACAATGTAGTCTGAATGACGGAGAGAAAGAGAGATTCAGAGAAAGAAAGACTGGAATGTGTGAGGAATAGAGAGCATTGAGAGACGATGTCCGGGTTGAGGAAATCAGCCATTGCATGATGGAAAACAGAAAGAGTTTTTTTTTTCTTTTTGCTGCTGTTGTTGGTTTGACAGTTGTTGTAAAATTTGCAGTTAATTGCAACTAAACACAAACAAAACGTGACCATTTTACAGTATTTGCTTTGTTAGGTAACACAAGTGTTCTGCAAATTTAGCATGAGAGATTATAACAACAAATATACATCAAATACACACATTTATAAAGAATTACGATCTAACCTATATTGTACGGCATTATCAGTCAATCAGTAACTGTTTTTTTATTTATTTTACCATTACCAGGCAAATCTAATTGAGATCTCAGATCTTTTTTTCAAGAGAGGCCTGGATTTGATGGCAACTTATTGTACGTTTTTTGTGGTGTGGGGGAACCCGGAGTACCCGGAGAAAGTCCACACAAGCACGAGGAGAACATTCAAACTCCACACAGGTCCGAACCAGGGAACCAACCCATGACCTTCTTGCTGTGAGGTGTTGGTGCTAACCACTGAGCCACTGTGCTCTGCCAAAAAAAAAAAAAAAAAACTGTTGTTTTTGTACAGAAAATTATACTTAAATAAAAAGTCGCATTTCTTAAAGGAATGCATTGCTCATGATCTGTTAGCACTCAAAAATTATGTTGGGGAGAAATCTCGGCTACTACTAATCCAAAAAGATCAGATATTAGCTCAATATCTTTAAAAAAAAAGCTGTCTTATAGCCATTTTTGAGTTTTGCTTAAGTCAGTTGAGGCTTCAGTATGGTCGCTCAGCAGCCAACCGGACAACACACGATCACGTGGTTGTTCTTATGTGGAGGGGGTCAAAAGTTCTGCCAGCGGGTTGCAACAAGAAGGTGCGCAAATGTCGACAAGGCGAACCAAACGACGCAATTTTTGTCATGAAACTGCAACAATCCAATCCGATTTCAGCAGTTTGGATGCAACATGCTGGGCGATTTAGCCATGGCTGCTATTCTGAACTGGAGCAATTTAAAAAAAAAATCTTTTTTTGTTGTAGACGTACGTCCAGTAATTAATTTCTGAGACTTTCATTAAAATAGTTTCATAATATATTTTTCTAAGAGACAATTGCAGGGACACACTGAGGCATTTAATATAGCAGATTCATTTGTGAGATGTAGTTCTGCTTAAGATTGTCCTTTTCATCATTCAGGTTGTGTAGTTGTCACTTTAGCGAACACAACCACAGTAAAATTACTCAATTATACTTTTTTTTTCTGGTATTAAAACCTCAAAAAAAGGACCAACAAAAAAAGAACAATTCCCTTATGTATAAATCAGAAAAATATGATTAAAATGTGAATTTTACTTTCACAGAGGTGAGGGCTCCAAGCAGTGGACCAATTTTGACCCCAAGGAGTTTATTAGCAAGTTAAAGAGAGGATTACACACGGAAGGCTTTGAGGCCATGTTGGAAAAGGCAGACGTTGGACACGGCTACATGGATAGACCCTGCCTGAACCCTGCTGACCCTGATTGCCCCCTCACTGCACCCAATAAGAACTCGACTAAGGTTGGTGCACTACTAACCACTGTACACACTTTTCARGAGTCAAGTGTAAACCTGGCTGATTACTTTAATAGTCTTAATATTTGCCTGTTGCTTTTTTTTCTTTTTTCTTTTTTGCACCAGCCTTTCAACATTGCGCGGGCACTGAGCGGAGGCTGCCACGGTCTGTCCAGGATGTACATGCACTGGCAGGAGGAACTGATTGTAGGAGGGACCACGAAGAACGGCAGCGGCCTCCTGCTCAGGTAACCAACCCAAACCCTGTGAGCTCGGCAGCGGTCAGGACAAGGCTTATCCTGGAGATGCTGTGTGTTTTCTGTTCTCTTACGCTTTGGGTGCGCACGTGTGCGATAAATCTTGCAGTCATTAGCAGATTCCAGCGAAATCTTGAGAGCTCCAGCTGTTCCTGCTCAGCTCTGGCTGTTCAGCTTGGACACTGCCCTCTCTCTCTCTCTCTCTCACACAGACAAGTGATCTATTGCCTGACGAGTTTGTTCAAATATACAACCCAGGGGGCGTGAACCTAAATTCAACACAAGAACCCGGTTAAAGCTTGTAGAATTTTTTACATACTTGCATGGGGTACACAGTTTTATGTTTAGGCCATGGGGTAATATTTTAAACGACATAACTGATGCAAGAATTAAAGTGGTGAGGTTAAAAGGTTTTCTTAAAGGGATCCCTGATTAGTTGTAACATTAGACTTTATTTGATAAACATATATTTTAACTGTAAAATAACGACTAAAATACTGTAGGATGTTTAGTTTAGTAAATTTTTTAAAATATATTTTAACACTGACAGAGCCATTTTATTTACACACAAAGCATTCTGGGTAAATGATGACGTGGATAGGTCCTCGGTGTGAGTGAGCTATATCCACCCTGAAGGTTAATCTTGGACAATATCTGATGATCGACTCTTAAATGAAACCAGAGAGCGTTGACAGAGAGGAGAAGGTAGAAATGACTCAGCCTGGAACTGAAAATATGGATGGAGGACAACAGAGCTGCTTCATGGAAGAAGAACCTCAGCTTAGCCTGTTAGCCTTTGCGCTAGCGCCGACGCTATATTGCCTTATATGTATTAGGTCGGCGCTAGCGCAACAAGCTAACAAGCTAAACTGAGGTCCTCCATCCATATTTTCTACGGAGCCCGCGAAGGGACATGGGGGATTTTTTTTGTTTTGTTTTTTTCGTTCCCATGCAAAAGTACTGCGTTACCTCGCAAAAGTCGTTCAACACGGTTGTGCCTGCCGGTTTATTAACAAATTTACCTGCTCACCATTAGTGAGTTAGCCTACTGATTTAATTCAGCTTCAGAATGAATATATCACACAGCCACGCATGGAAGTATATCATATGCCAATATTTTAACACAGTGCAGCCACGCAACATCAATATCAATTTCATGAACTTGCAGCGAAACATCCTGTTTTGGTAACCGGATATTTCAAAATAAAAGTCTGATTTAATTTAGTTCATATACAAAACTATTTTTTACATGGGAGCGCAAAACAATATTGCGAGGTAACGCAAAAGAAAAAAATCCCCCCATGTCCCCTCTCGGGCTCCGTATATTTTCAGTTACAGGCTGAGTCCTTTTTGTGTTCCCCTCTCTGTCATTTGGATGGAGGACCTCAGTGACGAGAGGAGAATGTGTAGCGCTGAGCTTATCATTTTAAGTTTAAAAACGATAAAAACTGAACATCCTACAGTATTTGTACAGTCTTTAATTTACAGTTTATATAAATGTTTATTAAATAAAGTCTAATGTTACAACTAATCATGGATCCCTTTAACAGCTAATAAATTTAGTCCAATGTTTGGTAAAGGGATTATTTGAAGTGGGGTTCTAAAAAGGTTCAAACCTGTGAAAAACCTTAAATTGTGTCTTTTTGGAGAAAGAAAAAGTTAATTTCTGACTAAATTGACAAGTTGGTGGTTAGTTCAATAGGAGACAAGGACAAAGTTGCTGTTGTCTTAAATTTAATAACAGTTAGTGCAAATGCTATGTTTTAAACTTTCACATCARTGTCAGCTTTGCAACCTTGTAGACATATTATGATATCTTTGCTGAAATCCTGCATTTGGAAGTGCCAATGTTGGCTACTGACACCGTTTTGTGCTTACAAATAGCCATACATTTTGACGATATCATGAACTGTTTTGCAGTTTTAGACATTTGACTTGTTTTATGATGGCAGCACTCGGCCCCACTTGATTTGGCTTGGCAGTCTAGTCAGAACAAATCTCTATTTCTGGGTTTGTTTGAAGAGCTATGTATGACAGAAAAGATATTAATTGTTTATAACCTTTCTAAAGAACCCTACTTCAGAAGATTTGAACTATTTTTTAATAGTTTTAACTTTAAAGTCCACATTCACGTGCACAAAAAAAAAGCACGGATTCACACACATCCTGGCCACAGAGTACAGTTGGGTGCTTTCTTTGTCTTTTGTGGTTGTGTTTTCCTGGCATGGTTGGGTCATTACAGTGTCTTTGAATTACTGCATGGCTGGTTCTCTCTGTGAGTGTGTGTGTGTGTTTGCTGTAGCTGCTGGCACTCCATTTCTACATCTTGTTTACTAACTGCCACCATTACTGTGATGATCACCATCTGACAAAGATCACATTCATAAAGGGAACGGCGGGCTAATGTCTGCTTCTTTGTTCCCTCACATTTTGACGATGTGAGAATAGACAGAATGACTCGACCGCTGTTCATAAGTTGCTCTGTAGTCCAAACTCATTTGTTATTAACTAATCATTTATATTACTTTATTGCCTGGCTAATGTGCTTGTTAAGAGTYTGTGTTGCTCATTATGCTTGATATCATGACCTTCGTAATCAGGAGCCTCGTAGATGAAGTTTGACACAGAGGAGCACATAAGTTATTTTAGTGGATAACTTCATATTACACAAAAATCTATATAGAGTAATCACTGGTTCTGAACAAACCGTCATTGCCTGGGAATGGCAGATTGCAAAGTGCAACAGTGCGTCTAAAAACCTGCTAATAAAACAGTGTTTYTGTGTTTCATACAAACAACAGTTGTCTTCTGTTTACATCAGAACACAACTGATATGTGTGCTTCAAAGACTGATGGCATCATCAGTGTAGAGCAGATGTGTCACACTCATTTTCAACAAGGGCCACATGAGCATTTTGCCCTCAAAGCGCCAGTTGTAATAAACTTTTGTGTGTAACGTTGACTAAACATGAAAAGTCACATTCCTCAGCTGAGCATCGCTAGCAAACAACAGCTGAGCTCTACGTGGTATTTTGTGCACAGAAACAGCGTTTTTAACCTCTTATAAACACTAAATTAGCAGGCAAGAATTCAGCAAAATGGACTGTGATGGAGCATACTTGCCCCTTCACACTTTTCAGCAGACTTTGATTTAGATCACAGTTCCTATGCACGCATACTTTACACATAGCCATGTCATCCTCAAATTCTCCTTTCAGTTAGTTTGCAATTGGTCAGTAAAGTCA